TTTTTTTGTCACAAAACTTTACAGGTTTATGCACCTTGGTAATCTGTACCTGCTTAAGAGGTCAAATGTCAAGGTCTTTACACAGAAATCTATTATCTTTAATAATCATTATGTTTATGTAATCCACATACATGACTGCTGTAAATTTATGAAGTATTTTAAGTTTTTCCTCAAAGAAAATTTGTTTTTCAAATTTGGTATATAAGATTTTTGACAGGTGATATTGTTATATTTAAATGGTTGTCTGCAATATAAATTTTAATGCTATTTCAAAAATTTTATTTGAATTTGACCATGGGAATGATGCTACATGTGTAGTTCATTTTTTAGCTCGACTATTCGAAGAATATGAGAGCTATTGTAGTCGCCCCGGCGTCGGCGTCAGCGTCCGCGTCGGCGTCTGCGTTGGTTAAAGTTTTTTGTAAAGTCAAATATCTCAATTATTACTTGAGATATTCAATTGAAACTTACAATACTTATTTATAGTAACAAGGTACATCAGATTGACAAGTTGGATAACTCTGCCTACAATATTGACAGAATTATGCCCCTTTTTAACTTAGAAATTTTGGTTAAAGTTTTTTGTAAAGTCAAATATCTCAATTATTGCTTGAGATATTCAATTGAAACTTACAATACTTATTTATAGTAACAAGGTACATCAGATTGACAAGTTGGATAACACTGCCTACAATATTGACAGAATTATGTCCCTTTTTAACTTAGAAATTTTGGTTAAAGTTTTTTGTAAAGTCAAATATCTCAATTATTGCTTGAGATATTCAATTGAAACTTACAATACTTATTTATAGTAACAAGGTACATCAGATTGACAAGTTGGATAACTCTGCCTACAATATTGATAGAATTATGCCCCTTTGTAACTTAAAAGTTTTGGTTAAAGTTTTTTTGTAAAGTGAAATATCTCAATTATTGCTTGAGATATTCAATTGAAATTTAAAATACTTTTTTATAGTAACAATGCACATCAGTTTGCAAAATTGCATAACTCTGCCTGCAATATTTGCAGAATTATTTGCCCCTTTGAAACTTAGAAATTTTGGTTAAAGGTCTTCAAAGATATTTACTTGAAACTTTACACATGCACTTAGGGTCATAATTGGAGGGTCATAATTGTATGTACGCTCCCTTCTTCACTGACCAAGTTCCATAACTCTGTCTTGCATTAAGGCTGATTCATATCCCCTTTTCTACTTAGTCTCTTGGTTAATGTTAACATGCAAGTTTTACATATCTCAATAACTATTAAAGATATTAATTTAAAACTTCATGTAAGCATTTAGGGTCACTGACAAAGATCCATAATTCTATCTTGCATTTAGGCTGATTTTTCTCCCCTTTTTCAACTTAGAAATTCATGGTAAAGTTTTGCTTGTAAGCTGTTATCTCAATAACTACTGAAGGGTTTTGTGCCTTTTTTGGGACAATTTATGCATTCATAATAATAAAGCAGTGATTTACTTGATAAAACATCTTAATAACAAGCCTTTGTACCTTTTCTGTCAAATTTATGTATTCATAGGTAATTAGTATTATTATACTCAATAAAACACCCTTGTGACATTACCTTCCAAATAGTCAAGCAAATACTGTATAATTAGACTCTCTCTAAGGCCTATAACATGAATTTATAACAAAAAATTAGCCCTTTTGTGAACTTAAAAAATTAAACAATATAAAGGCTCTTTTACTATCAAGCACTTAGAATAGTCGAGCGTGCTGTCCTACAGACAGCTCTTGTTTTATTTGAAATGGATCAATAACAAGCTACTTTTTCAAAATTATGAAATTGCCCATGGCTTACTGCAGTTGCAAAATTATGAAATTGCCCATGGCTTACTGCAGTTGCAAAATTATGAAATTGCCCATGGCTTGCTGCAGTTGCAAAATTATGAAGTTGCCTATGGCATGCAGATATTGCAAAATTATGAAATTGACCATGGCATTTTGCTTTTTGCAAAATTATGAAATTGACCATGGCATTCTGTTTTTTGCAAAATTATGAAATTGACCATGGCATTCTGCTTTTTGCAAAATTATGAAATTGACCATGGCATTCTGCTTTTTGCAAAATTATGATATTGATTGATGATATGCTGCTATTGCAAAATTCACCACTGAAATCCATTGAAAAATGGTCTTCTGACTTTGAATAATGACAACTATTCTAAGAAATATTTAAATGGAAAAAAGATTGTGTCATGATTTGTAAGTAAGTCATTTTAAGTTACATAATGTCAATTGTTGATTATTACTTAACATATACATTGTATAGTGCTTTATTTTGTTAAAGGCACATTATGCCTCACAAATGAAATTAATTTTTACTGAAGAAAGAGAAAACATAAGTAATGTAATGGTTAAAACTAATGGATTTATAGCATGTTAAATGCTTGCCACCTGATGAAAATAGTACTTCATTTGGTTAAAGGCACATTATGCCTCAATAATGAAATGAATTTTTACTTTAGAAAGAGAAAACTTGAGTAATATGATATATATGTAAGTTCTGAGGTTTTTACTGCTAATTGTGAAATTATTTGTCATAAAAGTAGCAAAATGTAAACAAAGTAGTATTTTGCCTTCAATACAAAATACTTTATCTGTACTAATTGCCAAAAAGCAACAGAAAAAGATGATTTAGATAATTTTCCATTGTTCTATTATTTGGAAATTAAATTATTTTGAGAAGTAAAAATAAAAGCATTTCTGAGGTGAAGTAGGCCTTTAACTTCCAAATGAATACATGGAGTTTTTTGTTTTGTTTTGAAAATGCCTTTTTTGATTAGGTAGACTGTATCCTTTTGCCTATTTTTTTGTTGTTTACATAGATTTTTATGTATATATATATATTTATATGTTGGGAAACATATGACTGTGTGTAATAAAACAGATTGCATTATATTTTAGCATATTATTTAAATTGATTTATTGCAAATTATGCTAAGAATTGTTTTTGTATAAATTATGAGAGATATGTATATTACAAAGTAAAAAAGGCTGTCGATAAAATCATATTGGACTTTGTTATAATGTCATTAATTTATAAGGAGATCTTGGGATCGAGTAGTCAAAATAAAATTGCCGACTACAGATTACTTCCTTTCTCTATCTTATGGCTTAAATGCCGCCATCCCTAGCCAAGAAATTATACGAAACAGAAAAGGTCATATTATACACTAGTTTCTTGTTTATAACTTACAGAGGACCTCTTGAATAATTTCCATGGAAATGAGGCTGATATATGATACAGCATTTGCCTTCATATGTGTTTATTTCACGTATTTCCCGCGCGTCCAATTTTGTTCGCTTGATTGTTACAGGTTATCAACTTGGAGTGACCCTGAATAGCATGCAACAAGACCGTCAATTAGTCTTGACTTTATTAAAGTATAAGATTAAAGTGAAATAAGATCTCCAACTATAGTTAACTTAAACAATTACATAACGTATCTTATTCTCTATAAAAGCGGTTCCGATGAGCTGTTTAAGTTAAAGCATCATGCTATTTTTGATGGAACTAATCGCCTCGACAATTGGAGGAAAGTGGCATATTTTATTACTTAAATTGTGCGGCAAAGTTCGAATCCGTGACCTTGTGCTTGTTATCAAAGAGCTAGCTAGGCTGAAATGTCGAGTAACAGGAAAATGCGATAAAGTTCTTATTGAAAATATGCGATATTTTCAACATATTTCCATGCCAGCTTAAAATATATTTAATTTAATGCCCTCGATATCATTGATACTTTTGTACAGTAAATTCTGAATTTGAAAAAAAAAGAATAACAAATATATATATATATATATATATATATATATATATATATATATATATATATATATATATATATATATATATATATATATATATATATATATTTATTTATTTATTATCAATGATATCGAGGGCAACTTTTACATTTATCTTACCAGTAGAGTTATTGATTAAAATTGAATCAGGTGTATATGAACCGTAAACATGTAAAATAAGCTAGTAAAGTAATCAAAACTTCAATGACTGGGGTGTAGTTATATATACAACATTTAACGAGCTGTTAAAATGTAATGCTGCAATTATCTGTTCGTGAACGCATGAAAAAAGTCAAATAACGATTGATATATACACAGTACGGATACTTTATAATACATGGACGAATAATTTGCACTCGTAAGCAAAATTTCATCCTTTTCTGTCATATTTTGATATCATCGTTGGGATAATTTGTCAGTGATTTGTCCCGAAGATGGACTTGAAGGGCCGAAAGGTTGCGATAGCCATCTCTGTATCGCTGATCAAGTCGTCAGGGTTTCATTATTAATTTGTCTTTTTTGGGCATGTTTTATGGTAAGATGCTGGTAGTGCATTATGCTACTAGTATTTTGTTTACAAATCCAGTCAGTACATGCATTCTTTAGGCAAATTAAGGTAGTGTTTCGTCGTTCCCAAAATCGTTCTAATGCTTAACTGGAGCTACTGTTTATGTATGTTATAAACGTTTGAGTAACAAGTCGAAATCTTTAGGGGTAGAATTTTCAGTGACGCCTTCTGGCAGTTTACCGACATTGCCTCTTATAGATTAGTTCTAACATAGGTTGATACACCAGCCTTCAGGAAGCTAAATGGAGAGCCCCTTCTCATGAACTATTTCTGCGTCCCTGGCGAGCCTCGGAATATATTACATGTAACTTCAAGGCAAGTGGCTCGAAGTGTTTCGGCCATGATGGACTCTCGTGATACTATGGTGGACAAATGTACAGTCGGATCTGGTGTTGAAAATTTAATATGTAATTGCGATGGTTGTAATATTTTAAAATCATAACAGTGTGGCTTGCTGTCATTTAAAACTTCAATCTCTGTATAGGTAGCAAGGAACTAATACATGTAATTCAATATGTTTGGTTATATAATAAGACAGCCGAAGCCAACGTACCCATTAAATCAAAGGAATAGTGAAGTTTGCAACATAACAAAATTTAATTCTCATATAAAGGTACCTTTATTTAAAAAGAAAATTATAAACAAAAACAGCTTAAATTTCGAGTATGGAGTTCATAATTTTTACTGTAACTTTTACCATTTGTGAACACGAATTATACGCGTGGGTCATGTTACAGGTAAAATTGGTGTAATAAATGGTGGTTTAAAACCATACTTGAACATACTATACAATATTTTATATATATATAGGTGAATGTCTATAAAATGTATAATATCACAAAATTTAATGTCATTGTATACTAGTGAAGTAAGTCCTTAGCATAATATTTTAGTCGTCACCTCCGCCGCCCCCACAGCCACCTCCTCCTCCTCCCCCTCCTCCTCCGCCGCTATCCCCACCCCCACTGTATCCCCCGCCGCCACTATCACCAAAGCTACTATATCCCCCTCCTCCGCCACCACTGCTGTAACCCCACCGCCACTATCTCCACCGCTGTAGCCTCCCCCACCACTACTATACCCTCCACCCCCTCCCCCACTGTCACCGCCGCTGTACCCTCCGCCACCTCCACTACTCTCCGTTACGCCTCCACTGTCTCCACCACTGGTACAGTCTCCACCAGAACTTTTGCCATCCCCACCGCTGTCTCCACCACTGGTTACAACTGCGTCAGGCTCAGCTGTCTCTCCTACACTATGATCATCGTCATCATCAGAATACTTATGCCTCGTGCCGCCCAATCCAGCTCCTTTAGTTTTCTTTCCTCCTCCAACGCCTCCCCCAGTCTTCTTTTTGTCCTCTGTAATTAATAATAATAATAATAATAATAATAATAATAATAATAATGATGATGATGATGATGATGATGATGATGATGATGATGATAATGATGATGATGATGATGATGATGATGAAAACAATAAAACAATAACAGTTAAACAATAAGTTGTAATAATAGAACTAGTGGGTGGTTCTGATGGTGGTATTTGTAGTAGTGATGATGGTGGTGGTGGTGGTGATGATGATGATGATGATGATGGTGATTCGTATGCCAAAATAATGATGTTGCATGATAAAATACATGTACGAGTATACGCTGAAAAGGTTATAATAATACAGCAATTTCAACGTAGCGTTAATTTCAACTGTAACTCGTACATTTGGCTTTACTTCAGCCATAATTTGTTAAATGTGCGAATAATTCAACAATATTATGATATATGAACTTATGCCCCAGTAACCAATTTACTTTATCAGAAGCAAAGTTCACTGCGAGTCCAGTTGTCTTTATTCTTTACAAATCTTGCACATTGCGTTTATATAGAAAAAAAAAACAACAACAAAATGACAAACAAACAAACAATAATTAATAATGTAAAGAATGATTCAAATCAAAGAAATGTATAGTAAAAATTTATAGATGTCTCTAGTGTAGTAATCATCTGCATCTTCATTAACATCACCATCATCATCATCATCATCATCATCACCATCATCATCATCACCATTACCACCACAATCATCACCATTACCGTCATCTTTATCATCACCATCATCACTATCATTATCACCTCAATCATTATCATAATCATCATCACCATCAACATCAATATCATCAATATCATAATTATTATCATTATCATCATCGAGCGAGGATATTGTGCTTCCGATCAGATTTTGTGCAGTTGGATTCCCGATTTGTAATTCAGTAATTCAGAAGAAATTAAAAAAAATGATTTTCTTAAAGAACATGTTAAGGTTTTCGTAATATAATTAAATGTCAAGAAAAAGCTTTCACTTGATATGATAATTTCCTTATAACACCAAATTATTCTTTTTTTATATTTCAAAATATAAGTTCAATATAATACAAAAGTTTGGAGTATTTAAAAGATTAAGTGTGGTAAAATAATTTAATAATATGCTCATGTAGGCAGTCAAGCGAATCACTACAAACAACACCCGCAGACATTTGATTTGCAAATGTACATGTACCTAAATATCTCCCCCAAGGCCCTGACACCACCCCCTCCCCCATCGGCATCTTCAACTAACATCTTAACTTGATGAACGCATTTGTCACCAGTAAAGAGTCAGGCCAGCCTACACATTCGTGTTGTTCTGTCTGGTCATACTCCATACTTTAAGAACTTTTTTTTGTATTTTCCCTTATACTTGAACCTTTCCATATTCAAATCAGATCAGATTTATTTAAGTAAAGGTAGTAGGATAAAGGTTAAAGGGAAAAGTGTCGTTTTTTTTTAATTTGTCCAAACATTCACGATCAACGTTTCATAAGAAAATGAAATGATTAAAAAAAATAACTTACTTTTAGTAATCTGTTTAGACTTGGAAGCACCCATTGTAACAAAACTTATAGTTGTTTATTTTCCTAAAAAACGTTAATTCGTTAAATGCATGTTATTGCTTTTATCTAAAGTCCAGTGTAATAGCGTTATTTGGTAAATTTATAAATACACAACAAGGTTTTATAAATATTCGACACTTTCTAAACCCGAGAAATGTTAACTACATCATACTCTAAGCTATGCATCATTAAGTATGTCTACATTTATACCTACATTTATTTATTATTTGTAACAGTACGCCTTAAACATACCTATGTACGTAATTTACGGTTCATAGCATAACGTTAAAGGGCGGTTACGGGACAGGCCAGGTGAAGTAAAGTTCGTCGCTGAAATATTTTATATATTTTGCTGTCGTAAATTTTAGGATTTTTACAATATTAATCGTTAGCCATGCAGACAAAGATGGGCCGGAAAGCTTGCACCTTTTACTATTCAGCCAGTAAATATTTTATAAATTTCCCTCAGATGAATGGTTTTGTCCGATTGATAGTTCATCGTGGTAAGTGGTAAAAACTTCTATTGATGATAAGATATACCAGTTCAAAACATTTTCGTGTTGTACTTCAATAACACAAGCAGAACAGTTAAACACAGTATAATTCAAGTACAAATGTTGCTGCATGCAGCAATTGAGAAGCTCCGCGCAAAAAAATGCGCTCAATCAAATAATTCCTACACACGTACAAGTCATGTTCTATTCAGATTAAGTAATAGAAAGAGCATCGAAACACGAGGCTATCTGATTTGTACGAGGGGGCGTAGCTCCCGAGTATTAATCAGATTGACAAGTGTTTTGATATCGTCAAACATAAAAACACGTTCCCTGTTGTCACAATATGAAACCCCGGAGAAAAGTAACCAATGAACGAGCATCTAGACTTTCTCGGCCGTCACAATAAGTAAACCCCGGCAAAAATGAGCCAATAAATGGGTATGCTCTGGAGTGCGGGTAATTTATACCTGCACTCCAGTTCACGCACGGTGCATCTATATGTATTCGATTTAACTCGGACATATTTTCAACAGAAAGGTCCCCAAACTATGATACAAGTACTATTGCACATTATTCCGAATGTTTTGTAAATCATATTTTTTGCATAATTATACTTATCGTACGCATTGTAAATAAGAGAGGAGCCAGATATTAAATTTAATAAAAAATATGCTTTCACTTATGCCTAATTTATAAGGAAAGTAATCCCATTGAATACAAACAAGACTTGCAAGACTTGTAAATGTAATGTGACATGGCAGTAGTGCAACATTGTTCTTTTTGTGTCACTACTGTAGTCAGTAATCTAAGATGATAAAAATATCAAAGCATGAACATTTTCTTTTTCACCTATAATCCTACTCATTTTTTTACAAATATCAACAACGGATCATGGTAAGAAATATAAAAATCCATATGTAAATAAGCCAAAACAAAAATTTTCATGGACTTTACTTTTCAAAATGTCCTTTACATGTTTCGCGGCAAATGGTATATCATGATATGACAAGAAAAGCATTGATGCAAAGCATCAAAGGGCGTCCAAGCAAGAAATGCAGCAAATGACGATAAACTAGTAGACATCTGATGGCTACATATTCTTATAAAGTTTTCAGTGGTTAATTGGATTTTATCAGAATTGTATATCATAGATAAATGGCAGGACAAAAGACATTGTTCATCGTGAACTTTGCTACGTTTGCTAGAGATTAGAATATTAAATGTATTTACGTTGGAACATACAAAATAGTAGTCAAAATGAACGAAGACTTTTTTTATTATTATAATTGTAACAAATACACAAACAATAACAAAAGGGACTAACATAGTCAGTTATATTACATTCATTTTTTTCATGTCAAATTTTAAAAAAATGGGATGAATTTCAAAAATATCAAATTTCTTTGGTGTACACGTTTTATGGTGATATCTTATTTATTATGTTCAAACTGCAGACGAACGTTTCTGTTGTTAAAATGTCACAGTATTCGGCAAATCAACATTCCACCCAAACAACCATAAAACCGATTGCCCTCAAACAAAATAGAATCAACATCTTAGAAATTAGGAGGGTCGATTTAAATATTCACGGTAAAAAAAATGTCAGAAGTGCTATCAGGGCCGTAAAAAAGAAAGGAGCTATATACCGGAAAGAACCTTAGGAAAAGACAATTTCAAAAATGACAATAATATGATATAACAATTCGTAAAAAAAACATTGTTTTATATGTTTACATTTCTTTTCCTGCAAATTCTCCAGTTCGTTATTTATTACCATAGTGCGACACGAATGACTATTACTACTTCTATAAATAGATTTTCGGACTCACAATGTTAAGATCATCTAGCTATTTATACTTTTATAGCTTTGGTATTCATGTACAGCAGTACTGCTAATTTGTTCCCGTTCTCATTCATTAATGTTTACAGCAGTACTGCAAATTTGTTCCCGTTCTCATTCATTAATGTGACATGCTGGAAATCACCGAAGGGGAAACCAATATATGACTTAACATAATAGAAATCGGAAGGAGTTCTTGATTCCGAATTTATTTTTAGCTGTAAATCGAAGGGATTACTTAATCGGGCCCATGGACAATGAAAAGTAAACACAAATAGCTCCGCGCCTGTGCTCCCGGAGCAATAAAACAAAAAACAACACACAACAGTAAAACACAATACAATATAACACAACAAAGAACAATTAAACACAAAATAACATTCATGTACAACATAGTACAGTTCAGCACAACACAGTAAAATACAATGCGAAATAACACAACATAAGACAGTAAAACACAATGCAATGGCACATAACATATAACAGTTCAACACAATTGAACATAACACAGCACAGAACAGTTAAACACAATGCAACATAACTTACACGACATATAACAGTTAAACACAATAAAATATAACTAAACACAGAGAAGTATATCGAAAAACACGTACTGTAAAACTCACCATTGTACAGCAATGATAGTACTATGTATTTAAAAGTACAATAAAACAATATTATGCTTGCCAGAGGCTCGGTTAATTTGATTTTATTCAACTCGTTCAATAAATTTAGCATTAAAAAACAATTATTCAATATCCTTTAAAATTTGTATATAACATAACACAACATAGTAAATTAAAACATAATGTAACACGTGCAATACAACACAGTACAGTATAGCACATCACAGTACAACTCAATAATACAATGTAACACAACATAACACAGCAGAGCAATAAGTGATATTCAGAATCAAACCTTTTGCGACTATACATAGGCAGAACTAAAAAAACGCGTTCCCTGTTGCCACAAAATGACACCCCGAGAAAGTAACAAATGAAAATATGAGCCAATCAATGAGCATGCTGTGGAGTGCGGGTAACTAATACCTGCGCTCAAGTTAACGCACTGTGCAAGTATGTGTATACGATTTAACTCTGGCACATTTACAACAGAAAGGTCTAAGTAATAGAGAGCATTGAAACACGAGGCGTAGACCCCCGTGTATAAATCAGATTGCCGAGTGTTTTGATGTTCTTTCTCTTTTGTATCATAGACAAGAAAAACAACACATTCCCAGTTGTCACAATATCAAACCCCAGAAAAAAGTAACCAAAGAAGAATATGATATTTCTTTAGCTATCCCTTTCTCTGCCGTCACAGTAAGTAAACCCCACTAAAATGAGTCAATCAATGGGCATTGTCTGAAGTGCGGGTAACTTATACCTGCACTCCAGTCTTAACGCACTGTGCATGTATGTGTATACGATTTAACTCTGACACATTTCAAACAGGAGGTCCCCAAACTATGATGCAAATGAATTTTGATGTATTGACCCTGTTAATCCATCATATATGTATTCTTCCAACCGTTTACTGATAACTTTAGCAAATATGAAATAATAAGGCTACGAATGTTCTATTATTTTTCGATGTAGTGTGTTTTGAACATTATTACCTTAAGGTGATTCAGCATTGTCAGCCATGTTTGTTTTCACTATGTGGGTTCAAAGTGAAATTAGGGCAAAATTCAAATAACGACAAACCTCACAATGTAAAATGATGAACAATTTGCAATAACACTTCAATTTTTTAAGCAAAAATAAAAACGATAACAATAAGAATGTGCTTAATTTCTGAAGACAAAGTAAAGCATTTTGTCTTGTCAAAGACCGACTTCAGTATCGTAACATGGTCGCACTCCAATATTTGTGAGAAATGTCACGCAATCTAGATTATGTTCGGAGATAGTTTTTATAAAATAAGATAAAACAGAATAAAAGGGAAAATGCTTTCACGTAAAAAAGTAAGAAAAAAGTCAAAGTACATCTTGTCGTATTGCAAGCGAACAAAAAAATGGTTTATCGTCAAAGATGCATACTTTTGTCAAAATCCGTCTTATCCAAAATCTTGATCATTTGGGTTGTACGTAAGATTTATAATTCCGTATGTTCTGCAATTGACCTAAGCGACCTTTTTTTACTAGAATGTGCGAACCTCGATTTTAAAATTTAGATCAACTGTAAAAGTGAAAAAATAAAAAGGCTTGAAGCATCTTTTAGACCAACTATGTATAGGCAAGGTGTTTATTTTGTCCATTGTGTACTTACTCAAGTAGTAGGGTATGAAGTGGTTGCACATTTGGTTCAAGCGCAAATTTAACAAGATGGCTACCGAATCATTAATATTGAAATATCAGCACGTTTTCTTCTTTAGGTAAGTTGGTTTGTATGTAATTTAGAAATTCTTTAATATGGCTATTCCGGCAATGTTATGGCACACCCTGTTTTGGGTTTCAGTTTCCTAGCTTCTGATTTGACGAAGTTATTGAAGATATAAACTGGTCATGTGCCTATATTTTGCGACAATTCTGGTCGGATTTTCTGCTCATTTATTCACATCTTTCAGTTTTGAAGTTTACCAAATAAGACAAGATATAATACTGTCAATCTCGTGTAATTTTTTTTGAATTTGCATGTTCCAGATACTGTAAAGTTTCAATACACAAAATATCTTGTTCAAGCGCATTTTGGTTGCAAACTTGTTCTTATTATTTCCCGTCAAACTTATGCGTCATTATTATTGCTTAATTAAATAATTGCATGGACAGGGCTATTTTTGATGAAATAATTTGATTTTGGTTGGAATTTGAAAAAGATTGAAGAAAATTCAATGAAATTTTAGGAGAAAGTACATTCAGTATCACTTAATTTCATTTATTTG